AGGTTCGATTCCGGTCAAGGGCATGTACCTTGGTTGGGGCACATCCCCAGTGGAGGGTGTGCAGGAGGGGCAGCTGATCGATGTTTCTCTTTCATCGATGTTTCTAACTCTCTATCCCTCTCCCTTCCTCTCTGTAAAAAAATCAATAAAATATATTTTAAAAATTGTAATTTCCTTTAAAAAAAACAACGTATTAGAATCATTGCCTATGGTGGAGGGGGAGAGTTGGAGTGAGAAAGTGGGGTAAATGGGAGTAAATAAATGAATGAATTAGAACACTCCTTGAGGTGGGCTAGTATGATCACAACCAAAATCAAAAGAGATTAAATGATGATGTGATGTGGCAAACATAATGTGCACCCTTTGTAAAATTCATTTCATGACGCTACATAATGCATGCACTGCCCTCAGATTCAAAACCATACCTTAATAGTGAGAAACTAACAAAGAGAGAAAACATCTCATCAGTTTGCACAGTCAGACATGATCTCCAGGAAAATGAATCAGCATCAGGACCTAGTCATGCAGATTCTCAAACAGTGGGCAGTTGGTCTACACAGTGATTTCAAATGCCCACAATTACTAATTTCCTTGTGTTAATCGGTGTTCTTTAGGCTCATATCCCTGCACTTACTCTATGAAACATGGGGACAGGCATGCACCCTTTTTGGAATACATTGAAGAGGGCAAATCATGCACCAAAATTTGAGATAGAGCTGGTCCTGAAGAGAGGAAATTAATTCCAGATCTCTGCTTCACAGAGGACTGCCTATTGAATTATAATAGGCTCATAATTTAAGGAAAACTACTTCCAAATAGTAAAAATTATAAGTTCTACTGTGAATCAAACCGCTGGGGCTGAATTGCAAGGTCATAGGTGACCCTGACCTGAGCTCTCCAGGCAGACCAAGTGCACATTAATTCAGTGTTTTCTGTTATTAGAGCGATCACAGAAATGAAAGCATAGAGCTGGAATACTCCCCAGGCTCATATCTTATGCAGGCAGCACAGAACAATGATTATAAATCTCCTTCCAGACAGAGCAAAAACCAACCTTACAAATCTGCCTTCGCTTTAGGTAGCAGAGGGGTTAAGGATATGATAAGAATTCTCCTAAATAACATTCCAATGTCTTGATAGATGGAGTCATCCGTCCCCACTAATATGGACGAAGTGAAGGAATTAATTATTTTGCAATCATGACCCGGCACAGAGATCAAGGTCGTGTTATTACATCAGCAGAACACTGACTAGTTGTGAATTATTCTTGATGAGACAACCAATTCTTACATCTCAAGCTGGTAGTCACTGGTGGCCTATTAGCCATTATAGGTTATAAGGCATTTTATACAATACCATTATTCACAGATCCTACATTCGGCCTCTGTGGATTATAATAATGCTCATGGCTTAGGAAACTAACCTCTGAAGAATATGAAACATCTGGGTGGCAGATTTTTAAAACTCGGCATGATCATTTACATCTACTTGACTAGTTAGCATTTACAATCTCTATCATGATGCTTCTGAATATCTTGAAATACCACAGCACAGTCTCTGCTCTTCTCTTTGTTATCAAGTGCAAAGGCACTTCAAACGATAGAAATATTAGATAAAATTAAGTCAATTCCTTATCAATTTTAAATTTATGCATGCAAAGTCACCTGGAGATATCCTGTTTATTCTTGTGATCGAAGTATACACCTTTGAGAATCTGAGTAATAAAACGTGTGAAACAGGGAACAAGTCGTCTCCCAGGTGATTCAGAATTTCCCAAGTCAACCTAACAGGAACTGACAATTCTAAATGTTGGGTGTTTTTCCTAACTCTCCCAATAAATACCCGTTATATCAATGAAATGGTGAAATGTAGTTACTGTAAACTTAGACTGTAAAACTTAGACTAGACTACATGTTTCTACAGACAAGATTTACGTCTCTTTTCTCAGAAAAGGAGTCACCAGCACCTATAACTGTGCAGTGTCCAGCAGCTCTTTAGTTCTTGCTTAGCAAATAGATGATACTATTAGGACATCTACTTTCCAGGGCCTCTTGTATTGAATACTGAGGATGGGATCTTCCTAAGTCCTATTAAAGAGATATTTCTCTTTATTTTTTGGAAAACATTACACCAGAGAGCTAAGGACTGTTACTGAAGAAATCACTATAAAGTCTTTTTGAACAGAACTACCATTTACCTAAGTTGCAAACCATAAATTTTAAATTCTGTAAAATTACATGTTTAGTACCTATTTTAAGGAAATTGAGCAATCCTACATGCATGAATTGTAATGTGTGCTTATAAGGAGTTATGCTTATATTGCTACTTTTTGAATGGCTATTTTTAAGGGTCAGTATAAAGTTGGGGAACATTATAAAATGTGCATATATATATATATATATATATATATATATATATATTCATGAGTCAGAGAGAGAGAGCAGTGGAGAACATATAGTTCAATAATGCCTGTTCTGAGGAGAGAGCTAAATTATCAGGGAACACCATTGCAAAAACTAAAAATGTAAAATGAAACATTATTTAAAATCCTTAAATGTATTTAAAAAGCTAAAAATATGCTGATGTATCAGTAGGGTAAGGTGTGTTTAACAAAACAGTATGTGAGAATCTAGGAAAAGCTGTCATTTGGTTTTGAGGCACTACCAGAGAAAAACGAAGACAATACAAAGTTCAGGCTTGATTTAACTAAATACGTGATTGGGTTGAGGAGAGAAGCCTATATCCTGCTACCAAAGGAAAAATGGAATCATTTCTGGAGGCTGTTAATGCTGTCCAGCATCTTCGTGGTCATACGCAATGTCTGGTGTGCAATGAAACATATAAGGACTGCCAGCTAACGAAACCAAGAGACAATACAGGAAATAGAGACAGAACCATAGCTCATCTAGATGCTGAAATTATAGTAATATGCTACCCCAGATAAGACAAGATAGAAAATCATACAGGATAATTATTTATAGAAAGGACAAATAAAAATTCTAGAATTGAGAAATGTATGGATGATAGCAGCTTAGATACAGCAAAGGAGAGGACTGTTTGCAAAAGATGATAGGTTAATAGGAAGTATCCAAACTGAAACTTGGAAAAGACAAAGAACCAATAAAATAAAATAGTTTTTAAAGCATATGAAGAATGACTCTAAGCTTTAACTTACATGTATTCAAATACGAAGAGGAAAAAGATACATCAGATGTGGTATTTGAAAACCAGTACTAGGAAAAGTTGTTGATAAATAGTATTAACACTGAGCCACAAACTCAAGATACTCGAGGAGTGGAAATGCAAATAAAACAACATATTAGTAAATAACAGACAAGCACCTGAAAATTAAAAATGAAACCAAACAAAAATCTTTAAATCAGACAGCAGAAAGAAAATAACATTATCTATGAGTTTTGTTTGCATTGAATGTAATTTCACTCCTGACTAAATATCCCACCAAAAGCCATAATTATATGCACTAGGTTATGTGTTCAAAAATGGTGTTAGAAGATTGTTATCCCCAAATTGAGAACTGAGTTGATAAATTATGGAATTACATTGGTGGCACGTGGCTGATCTATGTTAGTCTCATATGATAATGTCTACTGATTAGCAATCTTAATTCCTCCCTATAAACTAACATATTCACAGGTCCTGGAAGTTAGAATGTGGACATCTTTGGGAAGCTATTATTCTATTTACAACAACCCTAAACTTCCTACAATAATTAAAGAGACAACATTATCCCTGGTATATAAAGATGGTTCCCAGGCCCAGGGTTGATGAGCAAGACTCTTGAATTTTTTCAAGTCTGATCAAGTATTTGGTACTAATGAAATGAATTGCTAATATCAGAATGAGGTTAATTTTCTTCTTGATGCTTCTTAACTATGTGTAACTATCATAAATATTTACCAATTTCAGTGTAAAAGATATAAATTTAAAACGGAGTGTTGGACATATGTCCATAATGACATATGTCCACAATTCTTTCCACGATATATCTTCCTTTTTTGCTATATTAAATTAAAAGGTTTCATTCAATATATTTTTGTAACTATATACTTTCACAACATATAATATCCTGACTTTAATGTGTCAAAACTGAAATTTTCAGTTAATGAATCCTAACTCGAGTTTCGTGGAGAATATTTTTATACATTTGGAAGAACAATACTTTAAAAGATTTTAGTATACTAATTCTTTATATTCCTATAATCTTTCCAAGTGTGTACTTAGAAAATTGTTAAAGTGGTTTTTGGTGATGTGCCTTCCAATTCACGTTGCCTGTCAGTTATTTTACCTATTTAAAATGTATGCAATATTTACAAACTGTCCTCTAATTGTTGTTACTAATTTATACAGAATCACTTCCAAGTTAATATAAATTTGATATACTGTATTTTTTTCTGTTTTCAGGCATATTATTTCTTGGAGTAAAGTTCTCTGCAACCATTTCCTTTTTTCTCATGTCTTGATTTTTGTCTGCTTACCGCCAATCCTCTGCTTCATAGCCCGCCTACTTCCCAAAAACGATTTTATGTCTATTTTGGTCAGCTCTGCCTTGGTTTCCTGTTGTAATCAGTGCAATACTGCAGAGCCCCTTGGCTGGAACTGTGACGCGCATCACGGTGAGGTTGTGCAATGACCTCCAATAGCTCATTTCCGATGAGCATTCCACATTTCTGATGTTTATGCAAATTTTAGTCTAATTATCCAAAAGTTTTTGGAACAATGACCCCAGGAGTCTGACCCTTGTCCGTAAACACCCTCCTGTACTAATGGGCTGTGGAAGCCCTCTTTCTTCTTTCTTCCCTTGGAAATGGAAATTGCTGAACTTAGGTGCACTTTCACGTCATTAAAAACCAGAACCAGTGGGAAGCCTTAGCAGCAGCTGATGAAATATTTCCAAATTGTCAAAGGGAGAATGTCTAGGTCATCACCACCTCCATGTTGCACTTAGTAGAGAAGCTGCCAAAAGAGGAGAAAGCACCTACCTGCTTTAAGATGGAGCATGAGTCCTTTATCTGACCCGCGAGACATCTGCAGAATAAGGGAGTTTGTAGCATCATTTCAGAGAGGTTGGCTATTTAGCATTTGCCTTTGTATTTCAAAAAGACAGTCTTACTAGAATATTTCACAAACAAGTATGAACATCATTAGAATAGAGGCGCCTATAGGTTAAATTTTTCATGTGAGAGGCATTGTGACCTTTTTCTTAAAAAAAACACGCATAAACATATTTTACTATGTTATTAAATACTAGAGGCCCGGTGCACGAAATTCGTGCATGGGGGGGGTTCCCTCGGCCCAGCCTGCACTCTCTCCAATCAGGAACCCTCGGGGGATGTCCAAATACTGCTAGCCAGACATCCCTCTCACAATCTGGGACCACTGGCTCCTAACTGCTCACCTGCCTGCCTGCCTGCTCACCCCTAACTGCCTGCCCCCCCTGCCAGTGTGGTTGCCCCAACTGCCCCCCCCCTGCCAGCCTGGTAGCCCCACACTGCCTGCTGCTCAGTCGTTTGGTTGCCCCTCACTAACCTCCTGCCAGCCTGTTTGGTCGTCCATTCAGTTGTTTTGGATGCGATGGTTGCTTAGCCTTTTATATATATAGATTCCACAATTATTTATGTAAAAGTATACTTGTGATATATACATATCTTTGTAAGTCGAATATTTGAAAGAGAAATATCACCACCAATTCAGAAGGGCGAATAAGGATGCATTTTCTCTACAGAATTCTAAATTTCAGTATTACTGTAGTACTGCATATATCTTATCATGCTGTAAATCAGATTTTAAATACTCATGATTTTTCTATCTCAACGCTAGACAAATTCAATTAAAAACATGGGCATAAGTTTTAAAATTTACTTAGGGTTTTATTTAAAAAAACCCCACAAAGGCTGAAATTGTTGACTCTTATGCATATGCTTAACTGGTTTGCAGTTGAATGGAAGAAAAGTTAGAAAACAAGCTAAATTTTGAATATCAATTATTAAAATCAGCCAAGTTTTTCAAAGCTTTTAGTTGACTGACACCCCAAAAACATACAGTTAATTGATTACTACCAAAACCAATTCTCTCAATGAGTTTGTGAAGCATATGTATCAAATAAATGTGAACAAAGGGGTTCACATTTATCATCAGTGAAATCATTCTTTGCTGCGTCAAAATATAACAACCAATCATTTGACTCCATCTTCATCGAACTCAAGCTTTTAAAAATTAGCATAGAACTTTGCAGTTTTCATAAAGTTGTTTCTCTAACAGTAGAGATTTAGAAACCCTCTGTGGAAGTATATGTTGGAAATTGCCTGTTCAAAGAAATTTATGATTTTATTGCAGCGGCCTATTGACTATTCCGCTAGTCACCCACAGGCAGAAAGTAACAGTTTATTTATTCAAACTGCAAATGAAATCGGGCAAGAAAAGTAATTAGCAAGCAACAAAAAATAATGAAAAAGCACCATAAAAACAGTTTGGAATTTATGTGGGTTGTCAGATTGTTAAAAAAAACAAAACACAAAACTTCTATTTTAAAAAGGTAGAAAATCTGTGTGTGTGTGTGTGTGTGTGTGTGTGTGTGTAGTTTTTTTCAACCAACTGCCTAAACAGAGATATAGATTTTTCAAAGGCAATTCTAAAAATCATCAATATTGTTTCCTAACTCTTAAAAATAATTTTAAATACTTCCTAATGTAATTTCAAGTATTCTGTTTAAAATATAAACTTTACAGTGCATGATGGCCAGAGTGGCTCAGTGGTTAAGGGTCTAGCCTATGAACCAGGAGGTCATGGTTTGAGTCCCTGTGTGGGCACATAGCAGGATTTGGGGCTCAGTTCCCAGTGGGGGTTGTGAAGGAGGCAGCCGCCAATCAATGATCCTCTCACTGATGCTTCTATCTCTTTCTCCCCTCCCTTCTTCTCTGAAATTGATAAAAAACATATTTACTTTTTAACTGGAGAGACAAAGCATGTTTCACTACCTAGCTGCAGTTTCCAATAAGCTATCGACAACGTTAAATGAAGGCTTCTTGTAATTCAGGATCATGGAAGAGAGAATGTCTAATTGCATAATGTAGACATAGGGACATGAGAAATGTCCAATACAACTCCTTTACCAGGAACCCTTTAAATGATGGACTCCTCAACAGACTCTCCCAGCTGAAATCACGACTTACTCACACGGAGTGCCATGCACATTTGCTGAATGAACCATTACTCATAGCAGTTGATGAATTAGAAGTCCACCAGCAATGCAGACCCTCCACACACCTCTCCATGTCACAGTCTTCTGCTCCCATCTCTGCTTCCGGCCCTGTGCTCTTTAGAAATCAGATCCCGCCTTAAAGGAAAAAGAGAGCAGAAAGTGATACTCAGTTCACTGCCTTCCTTTCCACTGGGATTCTAGTTTAACTATATTTCATGAGGCCAGTGTCCTGCACTGGGGAACGGATCTGAAAAAGGAATGAAGGAATTCTGGGTCACTCCTTTGAGGGCCTCCACTTCCTGCTCTAAGATTTCTGTTCCCTCAAGTCTTCCCTTTCTCACCCGGTCTCCAGTGCCATCTGACCACTGCTTCCTCCTTTCATTTCTTTGTTTTCTTATTTTAAGATTTTATTGTTTTCAGTTCTTAGTAGGAGTTCATTGGTCTGATGTTAGCTACTCCATCAGAAATAGAACAGGAAGTCCAAGCGAGCTTTGATGTTAAAGGTACACAGACATGGATTCACAACCTATCATACTCCCTCCTGTAAAAGCAACTCACTCTGCTTACATCTGAATATCCTTTATCTACAATGTGAAAAATATAATTCAAAATTAAGTTATTGAACTTATATATGTAGAAGATGCTTAGCATGTGGCTCAGTGAAATTTTTTTTCAAATAAATGCCACCTTTTCTTCTTAGGCGTGGCTCAGTGAAATTTTTTTTCAAATAAATGCCACCTTTTCTTCTTAGGCATAAAATACATAAAATACCATGTAACACTAGTACAGAAATGTAGCATTTTAAAAAGGAAAGAAATTTCAGGCATGGAAAATGGGTTAAACTATTTGTTCTATGCAAAATACAAAGAGACAAGTAATCACTAAAAAGAGATAACTTTTATACATGCAAGTAGCTGCATGTACCCAATGTTTGAACTAAAGAAGCTGATGTTAAATTTATTTTTTTAACACCAAGCAAATGTTTTCCGAAAGGCAGATAAAATAATAATAATTCAGGAAAAAGACACAAATTGAGTATACCAGCCTGATTCTATTACTCTTCAATTTATCTGAAAAGAATCTGCAGTCTTATCAGTATTAGCATCCTACTTAAACAGTATTCATTTTTTATGGAAAATATAATAACTATGCTTGACTTTCTGATTATTTTAGAGGTGAGGAATGAGTACTAACAATTTATAACATGTCATGAAAAAATATCTTAACATGTATGTGAGTGGATCTGCCTACTATTTTGCCTACAATGAAGTTGACAAAAAGCATTGTTGGCTTAGGCGCGGTTTGATCTGTTTCTGTTCCTATGAAAATGGCACTGCTTATAGGACACGTACAAATTTTGATATGCAGCTGACAAGACGACAAATAAAAAAGACATCTGTTTTCTTTAAGTTTCGGATGGAAATGGAGCATACTCCAAATCATTTCGGTGTTGAGGAAGCATTACAAAATCAGCTGGGCATTCTTTTACAGTGCTAACAAAGAAAATGTAATAGTTCAAATAACCATGCAATAACTAAGTTAACTAAAGAAAGAACTCGATTCCCTGAAAGCACTCTATTTCAGTGAATACCAATGGGTATTAAAAGTCTAATATTTAACATTCTTTTGCACAGTAATCGAATTGATAAATGAAGGTTTCAAATCATCAATAAGAGTAATTTTATGAAGTGGAAATAAAGATATTTTTATATAATAATACTGATGAAGCAACTATGAAGATGCTTTGTCTTTTCTTTTTCATTATATGTAATAAACAATGAAGCACAGGATTTATGATTTGAGACATAATTTAATTAATTTGAATAGCAAATGATTATCCTGTTAATCTAAATTGGTATCTGTGTACCAGTGGATCCCTCATTTAAATATTCTAAACTGAATCTTTGGGTAATATGAATGCCATTCTTAAGACTTCATAAATTCATGTATAACTGCCACAGCAAAAAAAATTTAAAAAATATTCCGAAAGTGAGCTAGAGGCTATCCTCTGCCATCTCATTTTCTGTCCTCAGACTTGAACCCTGTTCACCTCCGTGTTTGCTTTCCCATAGCCATCCCCAGGCACCACTACAGGGCTAATGAAGCTGATTTTCTTGCCTCCACTCTCAGTGGCATATCCCTTTATTGCCACTTTCTTTGTAGAGGTATAACAATTACTTAAGGTGTGTGTGTATGTGTGTGCGCACGCGCGTGTGCTGGTGCTTTATTTGTTTGACTGTTTGTATGTTCGCCTATATTAAAGGAACGATCACCTCAAATGGATGCAGTTTGAGAACAATGTGCAGGCCACTAACAAGCTCAACTGCCATCTCCTCACTGACCACCGGACCTGTGCTGACTACTGTCCTCAGCGTCCTTGTCCAAGCTCCTGGACAGGCAACTTGTGGGAATTCTCTGGCTTTGTCCTGACATAAATTACAATATAAAATCTGTTTATGAGATTAGTTTGTGTTTCTTTCCCAGCTACTTTACTGGTGAAAAAAATGAAAGAAACTAACATTACATAATCCTTTCTGAAATGTTCTTTTTATTAAAAGTATGTTTTTATTGATTTCAGAGAGGGCTAAGTGATGTAATTCATTATTATTTAAGAATTGCTTAAAATCAATGTTACAAGTGACTTTACAAATGTAAATGTATTTAATGTATTAAATACATTCTAATAGAGAAATACTTTTCATATATGTACCATTAATTCAGGATTTCATTAATCTCCCCACTCAAAAAACAAACAAACCATGACATTAAAGTTCTTTTACAAGAAGTCAGTATTTTAACATATAATATCCCTTGCATTTAACAATCT